CTATCCTAGAATACTTCACTACGGGTAGGCACAAAGGTGTGGATTGCGTCTATTGTGTGCAGAGTTACTTCTGGGTGCCTAAAAGAGTAATAAGAGACAATGCTAACCTAATTATCCTATTCAAGGTGGATAACACACATTTATCTCATGTTTTCTCCGATCATGTAGCACCTGATATGATAAGTACGGATTCTTAGTCATTAGATAGCGAACTGACAAGTGGTGGTTACCGGCATGGGTAAAATGTCTAGGTAGTTTTTAGGGCGCAAACAGTCATTCCACGATTGCTCACTAGGATAGTTGTGAACGTCCATCTATGGAGGAATCACTCAACTAAGCTATACAGTATTGGTTGCATAGTTTTGTGAGGCTGAGTGATCTGGGTCTGTAGCTTTTATCTCTGAGAAGAAAGTTGGTTGAATAGCAAGATCGCATCTGGATGATTATGTGTATTGGTCTGCATGTGTATAAAATCAGTGATATTTGCTGTGTACTGAATATTCCGAATATGACGGGTTATTTATATATTGTACTTTCTGAAGAGAGGTTATGTTTAAAGTTATAAATTACGAAAAACTGAGGAGAATCACGGGAAATCATCACTGCGCCCGCGTTGTATGTAATTACTGTTAGCATGTATATAGCTTGTAATTCGACAGTGTACAGTGATTATAATTATTTCTTATCTCTCTGATTTTTGAAATTCAGCAAATTTGTAAATGTAATTTCTAGACTGGATAAGAAAAAGTGGATGCGCAACTAATTTCTAGCTTTGAATCTCAATTAAGTGTACTTGAGACAAGAACCTAATGTAATTGTCATCAACACATACAACTTACAGCTTAGACCTACAGTAATGCCATTTCAGAAGCAGATTTTACATCACATCAGAGACAAAGTTTGATCACAAGCCTCATGACATTTAGGCAACACGTACAACTAAGTGCTAAGTTAATATCTTGTAGAGTAACCTACATAATGTCAAAAAAACCCAGCATAATGTCACAAAAAATCGGCATAATGTCACTTTTCAAGTTACCTGATACCCCTGCGGAAGGGGTTTGATAAATTTCATAAATCCACTGGAAGATTAGAAACACCATCAATCAATCGTGGGACTGCATCTAGTACGCATCGCGATGGATTAAAAGATAGCAAAATGAAACGGCAGCAGAAAAACACTGAAGTGGCACTCAAGAAGTCAGATCGGAAGAGATTTATTGCTATCAAGAAAGGACGTGAATTCCATGATAGTGCATTGCAGCAGGTATATGAGCCCATTTCCAATGTATTAAGTGATTCAGTGACATACTGCAATGATAAGGTGCTGGAAAGTAAACGTGACTTTGACAAAAAGTTTAACGAGTTGAGTACGATTGTAAACCTATCACTTCCATCTAAATAAACTAAATACCTGCAAATACAAGCTCATTACATCAGTGTATTCATAGTAGTGAATATGTCTATCGTACGCGAAACAAAACGTGGTATAGCCAAGGAGCTTCATAATGGCGGCTCGAAGGAATTTCCCCCGCCGAAAAACTATCATAAAGGGTTTCGCTGACTTGTGGCAAGTTGATTTGGCTGAAATGCAATCTTTCAGTGAACAGAATGATGGATATAGATACATATTAGTAGTTATCAATTGCTATTCTAAGTTCATGTGGTGCAGACCAATTAAAAGGAAAGATATGGTAACCATAACTATTGCAATGGATGATATTTTCCAAACGGCTACCCACCACCCAAAGAACCTACAAACGGACAATGGATCGGAATTCTACAACAGCAAATTTTCTGCTCTGGTGCAAAAGTATGAGATTAATCATTATTCTACATATAGTACAAAAAAAGCAGCAATAGTTGAGAGAGCTATCCGATCACTAAAACACCTACTTTTCACTGAATTTTCAGTCAGGGGAGCTACCGGTGGATCAATATCTTATCATATGTTACTGATTTTTATAACAACAGGAATCATCTAGCGACAGGTGTAAGTCCCATCGGAGTCGACTTCCATATACGATTGAATGTGTACAATCATCCAAAAGTAGCTGGAAATGTGAAGCTTAAACCTGGCGATATCGTCAGAGTAAGCAAATACAAAAGTCTTTTGGAAAAGGGTATGCATCGAACTATTCAACGGAGTTATTTAAAATATACAAAGTCAACATTTCAAACCAAGTTACATATCGCTGGGTGAGAATTATAGGGTTCTATGTTACAAAAGTACTTTTCCGAGAAAAACGCGTTTGAAAATCCAGTGTCATGTAATTACGCTTAAAATAAATTCTTTGAATTTTCAAGTATCTCCACATCACTTTAGTATTAACGAGGCATGATATTCTGCTACAAAGATATTGCTGGCTTTAATTAAGAAAAAATTCAGTGAAAGTAAACATAGAACCTTGTGAGTATGAAAATGGTTATATTTATTAACATAGAACTTTGGTACAATATAAGCTGTTAAATAAAACATAAAATCTCCTAATAAAAATAAACCAAAACATAAAATAAACCAGTTTAAGTATGTTTAAAGTCGCACCTCATATTATTGAAACGTAAAGGTAACATATTGTAGTTAGTTCCTGTTTTTGTTAGCCTTCTTTTTCTTAGTCTTTGCACCTTGCTCCGGCAGTACGGCTTTATAATAATTCTGATCGATCAGTGGTATCCATTTTAGCATAAAAGTCAACGATTCAACTTTATTTGCTGGAAGTGCTACTTTGGAGGTAGTGGTTGCTGATTTTAGTCTACTTTGTAGAGCATTTCCATAATTTTTTCATTTTGTACTTCACATTCTGTAAAAGAATTCTCGGAACGAGAAATTTTGTAATGTACAATGTGAGGTGTGGATTTGCGAAATTGAAGTGATGAAACTTTAGAGAAGGGTACTCTATTATAACGATGTAGAGAACAAACCGTTTGGAAGTTCATAAAATCCTTGAGTTGCATTTGTATTATTCTATAAGGTCTATGTGTGTTCACTTTTAGAAGGATCCTGACGAGTGACAGAGGACTATAGTACTCTGTTTCATCTAGAACTCTTTCGATAGCGCTGTGTGTTGCATCAATCTCTAGAACACAGGAGTGACCAGGCACAGAGTACTTAATCGTAACCGTTTTCAAATTATTTTGGCCGTCCCAAAGCAGTCTTGTAATTGCAAACGATATAATTGAGTTTCGGTTTTGGGGGACGCAGCTGTCACATCACAGTATCAATTCAGTCAAACTGGGATGATATTTAACCACCTGATTCAGAATTTTGTAGAGTGCGCTTGCAATGTCGTTTCCTGTCCTCCCAATTAAGTGTTCTGCCCATACTGCACACTTTTTTGTGAGAGATAAGTGTGCGGTTAAGTTATACACTGATAGTTTACTTTTATAAAAGAACTTGCTGATATCAGCCTTTGGGCAAGTCAAAACGTTCTGGAGATCGAAACAGAGAACTGCTTCCTCCTTGCTTTCCCTGTCTGAATTTCTTTACTGCCTCAACCATATGTTTTTCATAATTTAATTTTGTTTGTTCATCAAGCTGTGTTTGTTCCATTTCATTTAGCTTCACAAGTTCGCGTACGTCACAGCGATCTTTTGTAGGACGCTGAAAATAAATATTATACTCCGTATAGAAAATGTGACGGTATAAAGACTGCTTGACTGGAGTTTGTCCCTTTTCTTGCATCAAGTTGACATAAAGCTTGTATAATTTTGCTATATTGAGACTTGATTCCATGTATTGTCGAGTAGTATCAGCACGACAATAATGACTATCAATTTTTGGCACAGACTCAATGTGATCTCTTACCAATTGTTTTGCATCTTCTGGTATACTGTGTTTTGTGTGCTTTCCTTGCACTGATCGAGCAGGTGTATTTCCCACATTTCTGCTATTTATATAGATGGTGTAAATATAGTTTAGCTTATGCTTGTTCCCAGGAAATAACTTTTACATACTTGAATTCGCTTAGAATCTATAGTAAAATAAAAATAAAAACGAGCTTTCTTCTTAGAATTGTCTTCACATTTGCCCTTGCGTCTTCTTTCTGGAACCTGCTTAGTAGTATTTGCTAGTAAAAATAATTTTTTTCTTCTTTTGTGAGTTTATAGTATCCTTCAAAGATTTCTTTTCGTTGATCCTCATTAATTTATGTACTGCATTTGTTACGGCACTGGACCTTTTCGAGAAGATACTTACGACTCACCTCTGTTTCTTTTTTCTTTGCGCAAATTAAGTGCCCATGCAGAAGGATTTCGTTCTCATTTTCTAGCTCTTCGTTTCTGGACCTTCTTATCAAATTCACACTCAGCTTCCTGCTGTACCATTTGAGTCTGTGATTCTATAATGCTCTATCTCCACAGGTACCACAGTCAGAATACGATTATTTGGAGGTAAACCGCAAACATCTTTATTAAGGACCAGGACCAGGAACAATATATAGGTAAGAGGACTTGAAACTCTTGATTTTTCTAAAACAAGAGTTTCAAGAGAACCTAGCAGACCCTCTATCGATGATCACTTAACGACATCGATAGAATGTGCGAGGTAAAGGGAACCAATTCGGCGTTCCCAGAGACTGAAACACATGAGGAGACGTTGTAGCAGACTGTAGGTCACGCACAACACATGGCCTTACCGAGACGCTGATGAGTCGGGCCACACAGAGGTTAGGGTTTAGTGGGTATTAGGTAGTCTCCTCAAGACAACCTGGAGTCCCACACACGCCATAGCTCGGGCTACGTTAAGGTGCGTAAATGCATTCCCCCCTCACAAAAAAAAAATGTGTATATCGTACCTAGTTCTAGGTATCTGAGATACCGGAACAAGTTTTTCCCCATTTTCGAAAGCAGGATCCTCATTTTCATTGCTGAAATGATTATATCAGCTGTTAGTTCACTAACATAACCTTAAATAATTTGTACTACCAACCTGTCGCTCTCTGATGGAAAATATTCCTTATCCTTATCACTATCATACCCAGTAAACAGGTCTTTACTTTCAGATTCGGAACTCATATGGACTGATATTGATTAAATACTGTTAATAAGTTGGATACACAACGAAAAGCAAATAAACTTGTGTAACCAACAAGAGAAGTGATTCGTCATGAAATGGCGCCATCATGAGCATACGTAATTCTATGTTAGGACATAGAACTTTGCAAAACCGTAAGTTATCTCACAACCTTAACGCACAGTTGTATGTTAAGCATAGAACATCATACCGCACAAAGGTTGATATTTATAGTAAATCTAAATTCTATGTTGTACATAAAACTTTGCGGCATCAATGCTACAAAATAACGATAAAGCTTTATGTTAGTCTCCTGATCCTTTCAACCTCGTTATCATCCCAACAAATATTCATATCGTAGTTTGTTGAATGTTCAGCGTCATGCATCGAATAGGTTAACTGGCACACTGATCTCATGATAGCTGTACGTAGATCCTTTGAATCAGGCCAACGCAATGATGCATAGTGCATCCACATCTTGTCAAACCTGCTTCTGGAAAGATAAATATAATGGTCAATATCAAGTGGAACATGATATTTGTCAAAACAACTTTACCTGGTGCATTTTCCTAACCCAGTTCTGATCTGAAGCTTTATATTATTTATACCCAACATATTAGCCTATACTGCCTCATATTTTTAAACTAATTACTACTGTCAACAAAGTCAAACTTTCTCAAACATTTTGAACGACTACCTGGTGTCTTTGGTGAGCTTTGGCCAATATACGCTAAAGAATATTTGTTTTGGGACTCATTTATATTTTTAATCATAATTGCCGGCATGTTTTCCAACACTCTTTTAGGTAGCCAAACCTTAAACTGGTCAGAATCAGAATCAAGAAGGGTTGGTACTAGACATTGCCCAAACTTTGATTAAATACTTGAAATATTCTTAATAGATTTGTTTACAGTTAATGATGATAATGTTCTAGATGGTATATTGTTGTCAGATTCGCAATTTATTTTATTGTTTATTTCATGCAAGGCTGAGGTAGTGATAGACAATATTAAAAAAATAAATATAGTGTTGGATAAATAATATAAAAGGATGCTCACCAAATTCTATCTGTTAGGTACGTCAAGAATATTATTTAGTCACTTATCGATGTTAAATTACTGAATTTGAATTTTCATAGCTGTTGTTGTTTCACCATTTATATAATAACTAGCAGAGTTAGATTACCTTACAGCACCGCCGCATACCCTAAGGCATTTGAACAACCCAACCCCCAGATAAATTTCGGGTGGCCCACAAAAAATATATAGTCAACATTTCTATTATTCTGCACCGAACAGCTGAGAGGTTTTACAATCGGCATGGCCATTGTGAGGACAACAATGCCTTAACAACACCTTCCATCGACGACTCTTTTTCTATTATAAACGCGTTTATGATCTGAGGACAGAAGCGCGAAAATGTTTTACAGTTCTTGATAAGGGGACCGAACTGCTGTGTGGTTTTTCAATTAGCAGGGTCATTGAGAGCTATCTATACGATACAAATTTGTCGAACAACACGGTTTAGGTGCTATGAGGATGGTCATTGAGAGGATTCAGAATTTAAACACCCCCGCCCCTTACCACGCCGCACCACCATGGGTTCCGTCGAGCTATTTACCTGAGCAGAGTTAGATTACGTTACTGCACAGGTGCATACAAGAGTTCAGGTCTACAAAAAATATCGCACCACACACGGCGATTGAGAGGGCAAAGAATAGTCATATCATCGGACTAAGGTGTATGGATGACGAGATTGAAGTGGGAAAAGAGCGCGCTGCCGCTCGTTCGCCCGGTCCATGAGTTATAGTAGTGGAGGGAGGGAGGTGGGGAGGAGGGGGAGACACTCTCCGTCGACTCATTTCTATTAAACAACAAGTTTTCGATGCTATGAGGATGGTCATTGAGAGGACTCGGAATTTAAACACCCCCGCCCCTTACCCCACCACACAAACCACCCCTTCACCCCCCCCCGGAGGCGAGGATTCGGCCTCATTCAATCTACTGTCAGGTATTTAAAAACTATTTTCTTTCAGTGATAACAGGAACAAAAGGCATATTTTTTTCAATAAAAGTCGGAAATCTCGGATAACTCGAAAACCGTAAGACTGAACTAAGATATTTTTGGCTTAAACCCCGCCAAAACTTTGTATCGACCTTCCAAACACCCTGTATAAATAAAATAAATCGAGTTCAAAAATCATACAAAATAAAAATGAATAAGAAAGGTAACTTTTAAAAATTGGGATATAGGATATCAGTGATGACTATAATAAACTGTATTATCAGAATTTCACACATTGGTCATCTATCAGGAAAATCATCCAAATTACGCTTTGCATGTAACAACTCGAACATGTACAGGGTTTGTCCGGAAAGTAATAGGACTGAGTCGATTTAAAAAAATGTATTGAGCCAATCGTTACAATTCTTTAAAAAAATTCAAAATAGTCTCCTTCTGTGTCGATGCAGCGCTGCCGGTGCGATTTCCAAGCATTGAAGGCGTCACGGAAGGCATTCTCCGGAATAGCCTTGAGAGCCGCGGTGCATGCTGCTTGGATCCCCTCTGTCATCTCAAAATGCTTGCCTTTCAGGCGAAGAAACAAAAAAAAGTCCGGGGGGGGCACATCTGGGCTGTAGGTCGGCTGCGGAAGCATTGGGATGCCGGCCTTGGGCAGGTAGCTGTTCACAGGAAAGGCGGTGTGAGCCGGGGCGGCAACTTCCGGTCGGCTGCGATGTCTTGACCCGACTGACCCTTCGTTTGAGTCTCCTGAGCACTTACACGTAAAACTTGGCGTTGACGGTTTGTCCAGGAGGAACAAATTCATGGTGGACGATGCCTTTGATGCCAAAAAAGACAATGAGCATCGTTTTCACTTTGGATTTGCTCATTCTTCCCTTTTTTGGGCGAGGAGACGCTGTCGTGTGCCACTGGGAAGATTGCCTCTTTGTCTCGGGATCATACTCAAAGATCCACGACTCGTCTCCTGTTCAAATTTTCTTTGCAGACTTCCACTCGCCGCAATTTCTGGTCGTCAGTGAGCACTTTAGGGACCATCTTCGCGCACACCTTGCGCATGTTCAAATGCTGTGTCACAATGTCATGAACCACAGATTTTGGTAAATTTGACATCTGGGCAATTAAACGATGGTCTGAGTTCAAAACTTTGCGCACACGAGTCACATTATCGGTGTTTGTCGAAGTCGAAGGTCTTCCAGCACGGTCTTCATCAGCAACCTCTTCCCGGCACTCCAAAAAGGCCTGGTGCCACTGGAACACACCACTTCTTGCTAAAGCAACACCTGGGTAAGCCTGCTCGATGATATCAAACGTCTCTGTCGCAGATTTACCGAGTTTTACACAGAATTTAATCGCGTCCCTCTGCTCTAACGAACGCTGCATTTTGGTCTTGCGCCACTCACAGAAACACGTCGCGCGAAAATGCCTGTCCTGACTCTCCAAGTGCTCGGAGCCAACTGACCAGCCGCTCATTCGTTAACTAGGAACGCCCTCTACCGAATCCAGTCGGTGCGCGCACGCTCCGAATTACAGTCACGGTGGAAGAAAATGAGTCCTATTACTTTCCGGACAAACCCTGTATATGGATGGCATAGTATTCCCAGCTGTTTGAAGGAAGCTCCACAGCTAGACCTCCTGCTCAGACCTTAAAGTGAACGAATACTCGATTCTTTTCAGTGGAAACACCCTAGGCTGTTATGTCATATGATTAAGTTGACAGGCATTTTTCCCGTTACAATTAAAGAAAATGCTATGCGAATGTTTGGTTCTATCGCATTTCAACTATTCGGACATCCTATATGGCACTTGCAATGTGAATATCTATAAATGCTATGAATATCTATAAATGCTAAATCCAAATTGTTCAGAATTCATGCTAACGGAACGAAAAAAGAGTGAGAGTATCCCACAAACTGCATGACGTTGTTTGACTAAATATGGATAATAGAAGAACTTTACACTCGCTTTGCCTTTGCCATACAACTATATGTATAGGTGTGTATCAGACATTGTTACGTGATGAAATTTTAGCACCATGGTTAATATTTAGAAAAAATGGTTGAACTATTTAGGTATATATCATAGACTATGTTACGTAGTGAAACTTTACCACCATGCTTAATATTTAAAGAAAAATGGTGGACAGTCTGATTTTTAATAAATGATGCATGCGGCTACTTTCCGACGTCGGCAATTTAAACAGAATTATGCGGTCACTACCCAGAGCCCATAAAGTAATTTTACAAAAATGATGGAAACACTACTGGAAGTCGACTATCTATTTCGAAAAATGGTGGGTGTTTACACTATATGATAAGAGTCAGCTTTTAAAGAAATGGTGGAGGCAGTAGTTCGTATGGCATAACCACCATGCTTAATAATTATGAAAAATGGTGGTCAGTCTTAGTATTAATAAATTATGAATGTGGCCACTATCCGACGTCACAATTTAAATAAAAATTGTAGAAGCACTCGCTACTCCAAGACGAGTATCTATTTCAAAAGATGGTGGATGCTTCCACAATCTGTCCTCAAGCTTCCACTTAAAGAAATAGTGAATGCACTACCAGTTGAAATTCGAATAATTGCATTAGTCACTTCAAAAAGTCCAATTTGAATTTTTCATAAATTAATAAAAACTATGTCAGTCACAAGTAACAGAGTTTTTAAAGGACATTTGATTTTTGAGAAGTTGATATGTCGAATAAACGTCATAGGTTATCAAATAAGAATGAAAAACCTGAAAAACAGTCCTTAACTTATGTTGTTTCAGCAAGAAATAAGGTTGAGCAAAACATATTAATCATACTTCGTATTGCTTTCTATTGAAAAGTACATTAAACAGTCGAAATGTTTTAACATGTTTCAGCAAAATAAACATGTTACAAAATATACGGCTAAGTGGTTTTTAGATGACCGATTTAATTTAAAATGATAATGCTATATTTACTGTACTCAAAAAATGACCGAAACGTTTGTAAACTTCCACTCTTACGTATGTGTTTTCATTAGGCGTCCAGCAGCATATGGAGATTTTTCAACGAAGCAACAACAAGTTTTTGATGTTACATCCAATGATTTGTGTTGCCTATTAAGCAGTATTATTTCAAGTGGAAGGAATGTATTGACTTACGAGGATTATGCCAAAAATGCGCATATTCTCTTAAGAAACCGTTTTCACTAACAAAAAACTATGGGATATGTCGGAAAGTTTGCTGCGCTATATGCAAAGGTGAGCGATTTACAAGATGTCAAAGTTGTTTTTTTTTGACAAAATATCCGGTACTTCAGAAGTATGTAGCGTGATATTGAAAACGTCCTCCTTTGGTTATTGAAATTAAGAAATGCATGTTTGTAATGCCAGTTAGTTAATAATAATGTTTATTGCCTAAAATACAAATAAATCATTATAAATAAAATATTCTAGACTATATAATAAACATGAGAGAAAACCCGACTATTTAAAAAATAATATGTAAGAAGAATAATTATTTAGAATGGCATAAGGTTTACACATAATATTTAACATAAAATTTCAGAGAACGTATTATCTGACACGGTAAAAGTAGAAAAATAGTTTATTTCAGCTGATCATAAATTGCTTTTTTTATTAATTTTTACATATTGAGTCTATATTCGGGATTAGTGTATGTTGTCAAAATCGGGATTATTAGCATAGTATAAATATGTATATCGTCAAAATCGATAAGCTCATTTTAGTATCTTAGTATGTTGACTTTCCATATTAACAGCGACTTTTTTATATCGATAATTTCATGAGCTCTCTTTCTGGGCATAGATATTATCCAGTCTTTCACTTTTCTTCTATACCAGTATTTGGAGTTATATATTTTCCAAGTGAGGGGTGTATATTTAGTGCTGAAGTGTACGGATGTCGGGGTAAACGGACTAATATTCTTATCATAATGTACCAGATGTTTTCAATGGGTAAAAGATCGGGAGATCAAGGGGCCAAAGCAGCAAATCGACTTGATTGTCTTCGAAATTGTCGCGGCATTCTTTTTTTTTTAAATTGGGTTGGTGAGCGTACATATATCAGGCAAAACATGTGGTTCCCTTGCCTCCTGGATGTTACTTAGTATAACTTTTTGGGTTATAATTTATAATAACGGAGCGATGATACACTAATAACTTACCCTGGCGATACCATTTTGACCGCTTGCGGTCTAAAAATCGTGAACTAAAGCTATCCTAGGAACATCATAAGAATGCTACCAGAAAGTATTTCTTGATCTATTCGCAAAATATTATAAATTATCATGTCTCTTCGTCAACTTGCTGAGAAACGAAGCCAGGCATCTTTGTTATTCTTAACGCTACAATTTTATTGTTCGCTAAAGTTTCAGTTCCCTTTCAGGAGCAATTTTTACGTCAAGGGACATAAATAAGGAGTTGTCATAGCCAAGGCAACGTAACTGAAATTTATGGTCGGTTATTGTTGTGGCCGTATACCTATAAAATTCAGAAACCGACATTTAAGGACGTACTTCGAGGCGAACTGAGGTTCAGATCCATCAGATACAGATAACCGATTTTAGATGGAATTGGATGAAGTGAAATATCACTAGGAATAAAGGCACATTTGGCATATCTGTGGACGGTTATCAGGAATGATATGATGATATACTTCAATGTTTCAATTCAAAAACCTTGGATGAGGGCAATTGGTAATTCTGCTATTGCTGAAATTGGAAAAATTGAGTATTCGACGTCAACTCCAGGTTCGTTTTAGCAGTATTTGTTTTATCATGGTCGTTCTACATATATCAAGTTTTTTTTTCATTACTAAGAATACCTACAGGATGTTTCACAACTTATACGACACATTTTAACCACATATGCACTGTTAGGAAACAAGCTGATTTATCAAAAAAATGTAATAAAAGTCATACAGAAATTAAGTTATATACCTGTGTTTCAATAATGAATTGAAAAATAAATTTTGCGTTCATCGTCGTGATATTAAAACATGCATTAATAATTTATTGTCGCAAATGTACCAAACAATTGACGAAAAAAAAATACCAGGAATTTTTTGTTTTTCATACTGATAAGAACGTGTAAATAAGGTTTAATCTATATCGTGGGTGATCTGAATGAAGAACGATCGATTTTTGTGAAGTTAAATAAGTATTCTACGAGTTTATGTTTTTAGTTATTTATTAATAAGAATGGCACATGTGTACACTAATGAGGAGTTAGTGGACATTGTTTTAGCGTACGGAGAAGCAGGGCAAAATTCGCAAGCGGCTTCTCGTCTGAATCACGTATACAAGATACGCTGGATCAGGGGGGACCAATTGCATGGCCTCCACGGACTCGATCTGAATCCTCTGGACTTATTTTTATGGGAATACTTGTAAAACGAAGTATACCGTACTCCAGTTCAGAATATTGAAGAATATACATATACATATTATGAAATGGCGGCTTAGTCAGAGACGCCAGTTCGTTAGGTATATTTAAAAGAAAACTAGGAATGGTTGCATGAAATTTCTAGAGTGAAAATAATCTGTGTAATACTTTTAATATTATAAGGTGTAAATTAAATGTTAAGTATTATGGATTTTTGTAATCTGGGCTCAAATGACTAATTAGAGTGGTATATTTATGTAGTAGTAGTATAGTGTGTACTAGATATAAACATTCACATGAATAAGGCTATGCCTTCTATGGGTTTTTCATTTGGTAAGTGACATATTTCTGTAGGTTTTATTATATTTTAAAGGTAATAAACCAAATTTTGAATTTGAATATCTGTTGGTCGTTATATACTTGGTCATTAAACTTGATGGCCAATATTCGTTATTTTTTACACCGAAGTAGCCGAGCAGGCAGAAGCCTAAATGCCAAGACCGCGGCTGCTATTAGGATCCCAAAGAAAATTTACTAATCCAATTTTTGAACTGTCTAAGGTTAGTAAAATTGGGAAAAGCCGAATCATGTAGACTGTTCCACAATGATAGCCCTCCTCTGAGCAGCATCGAGCATGGTCATTGAAGTCGGAGCGACAACACCCCAAACATGTGATCAAAACTCGAAGCTAGGTCTTATCTGGGCCACGTATAGATTGAGGCGGTCATGTGGAGAAAAGTACTTCTTAGCCCTACACAAATATCTTAGCGATTTTTCCCAACAGCTGCGATATTGACGAAATGTGTTCGTGCCAGATCAGGTCCTCGGTGATCTGAACTCCGACCCGCCCAAATGAGCCGCTTTTTGTCAGAACTCGGTCATTCATCGAAACCGGATGAGCGCTAGGACGCTTTTTCTTCGTCAAGGTACAGTGTACTGTTTTAGAAGCATTAAGCTGTACAAGACTGTTACGCCTTCAAGCAGTGATAATAAACTACAGGTCTCTTGTGAGAGAGGAAGTTGCTGTTAGTCTTCTTTTCTTTAGCTCACTGGCACAGATAGGCTAGTCACTCTGAAATCCCGCATATAGAGTGCTGTCATCTGCAAAGCTGTGGTGGAACAGTGTCGGAGCCCTATGCCAGATAGAAAGCCAGCCACCAACTTGCTAAGCTTCTCTGGGAAACCATAGGATGGAAGTTTGCATAAGTAGTCTTTGCATGCCCCGTTCTTATTCATACCTGTTTCGCATAGACAGACATGCTCGTTACCTGGGTACATGCTGTAAACATAAAACTTCCTATCCCGGCGGATGCTGCGAGGCTTTTGAAAGTCGTACAAAAACGAAAAGATGTGGGGAACACTTGAGCCCCCATTATTTACGACAATATAATGATATGACGATGCTATCTGGCGTGTAGAAGCTCGGGGAATAACAAGGTGTGGAATAAGTTCATGCCGTAACATGCCACCAGCGAGAAAAGTTGTAAATAGAAAAGGCGATTTTTCAGGCTTTTGTATTCTTGTTCGTGTGTACTCGCATATCGGATAGATCTTTTGGAATATTTAGGTGATGGTTTCAACAAGGGTGGATTTTCATGTGGAGGAAGATCCGTGTAGAAGAGAGGGGATATCGGCTGCATGCTTAAGCACTTAAGCATCACAGAATTTGTTATAATAATAACAATAATAATAAATGGGCTTTATTTCGTACAAAAGTACAACAAAGGCGAAGTGTCGCTAAGAGCAGCATTTTTCAACTCAACCTTTGAACAAAAAAAAATACATAATATAATCTTGAACTAATAAAAATGTATGCAAATTACTCAATGATAACTAATTAATTAACAACACAAAAAATGTAAGCAATTACGAAAATAGTCCATATTCCCAGCATTTCGCGTTCATCATCAGACCTCAGCCTGCAGTTTCAGTTTAAGCCTCTTTTTAAAATTAAATAGTGTGTAATTTTGGAACGTAGCAGGCAGATTATTATATAATTTAATAAAGTTTTAGCCAAATGATTTATGATTTAAGAGTATCACTAACATATATATTTCTATTCCTTGTATTTAATTGATTTGTGACGCTACATCGTGCTAACTTTTTATGCACATATCGTGGTTGGTTGATGGCTAACACATGTGTGAGTGTCAGTGAGTGGAGTTTTTGCATACCTTTAATCTACAGAATACCAAGCTCCTTAAATTTATGAGAAATATGATTAAACTTTCATATCCCACAAGAAAATATGACGCACGAAATCTGAATATGCTGTAATTTGCTTTGTTAACTAGCCAAGGTAAACGGTTGATGCGATGTTGATCCATGAAGGCTAACGATGCTCTGGCAACATGCGTTCTAGCATTGTCTTGGTGAAAATTCAGGTTTTGGATGGAGTATGGAATAAGATGAGGCTCCACTACTTTCTGAATATAGCGTCGGGCTGTCATATTGCCTCTGATGAAAATTACTGGTGATCTGCTACCATAAGCAATGGCACCCCATACCATAACTCCCACGGTGTGGGTCTCGTCTTTCACCACGTCGCCTTCTCACTATTCCCCGACCATCCCGCATCCCCAGACAGAAGCGGGATTTGTCACTAAAGACCACCTGATTCCATTCCCGGTCCCAAAGAATGTTTTCTCTACACTAGAGCAAACGGTTACGCCAATGTTCAGCTATGAGAGGTAGCACCCAATGTGGGCGATAAGAAAAAAGCCAAACTGTCGTATTCGGCGATAGACCAACCGTCCTTCCATGCTATTCAAACCACTGACTAGCGATGGCTCGAGTACTACTAAATCTGTCTCTCAGAGCCAAAAGTCTTAACCGTCGGTCTTGTCGTTCTGTGGTCCCTCAGAATCTTTTAGCACCTCCATTTTTGTAATACCCCGGGCGGATAACTTTTACTCTTAGTTGTTCACAAAATTTACCTAGCTAAAATTACATTTCGGTCTCGATGTCCAATACGAGGAAACAATACGTAGCAAATTGAAACTTTACAGCTAGGCTAATTTATAACGTAATCCAGACAAATGCTGCCATTTCATTTATTAAACGTTTTCATGGTTTTATTCTCCTTCATTCAGCAAAACTAATTAATCTGCGTCTCAAGACACTGTGATTAAAAGGTCTTTTATAAATATGTACATTTATTTAAATTCCTAATTCGACCGCAATAAGTTTTCTTGATGTATTGCATAATCCTCATTTATACAAAATTTTGGTAGCAAGAAAGCAAGATTAATTGGCTAAGTTAAGAAGTTCTCTCGTAAATTAAATATTTCAACTTGTAGCTCTTATTATACAGTATGGCACCAATAACTGAATGTTCATTTCTGAAGCGATGTTTTCTATCCAGAACATTTTTTTGAAAAGGATCGGTCACGGCAACACACATTGAACAGTAAAATCCTGTCCATGAATCGAGATTTGTGTGTGGCCATCTCTAGGAATCCGCCATATTTAGCACGATTTTCTGTACTATCTTAGGATTTGCAGACCCCTTCCCAAGGAAAAGTTTGCTAGTCCCGCTCTCTTCAAAAAGTTTTGGGAGCTGGTACATTTTCACAAAAAAAGCTATTTCTTACCGATGATCGCCTCTCCCCTGAGAAAAAATCCTGCGGGCGTCCATGCAGATGTCACAGATCAATCCTCAATCGAAGCTTCTGGTTTTTCTGGTGAACAGTTGAAACACAATATAGAGACGTTTCGCTGTCTAGGCTGCATAACTGGTTTTTAAATAATAACTCATATCTTAATTCAAATAAAGCAGTGCATTAGATTTCACACAAGACAAAGAAATTATTGTAACATACTAAACTTCGAACTGGATATAATAATGTCAATATTAATAATGCTCCTTGGTATGTATTTGGATTGGAAGTAGTAGTGTGACTATGTATAGTTGTACTCACCGTTCTTTACGGTTACGTCATCAACGCTATATGAAATAAGTAAACAGATCGAGTCTCCGTACCATGGGCGGATCTTATTTTCCATTAGGTACTGATATTAAAATAATTTTCCTAACCGCTGTTTTCATTCTCTTCCTGGAAATACTCTAATAACTTTAACACGAGCTGTCAGCTGTCTCCATTGATCGTATTTCCGGGCATTGTACACTTTTATATTGAAGATTGATAACAGGACCACTCAAATTGCACGCCGATGTCAAGTAAGTTGTCACTCTGACAAATATGATTGAAGGGCACTCATACGTAACGACAAAGTTTTCGAGACGCATACACACAACTAAAAAACGTATGTCTTTAAGATTACCGAACAAACGCTCACACACAGGGGTAGGTTGCATGTGAATGTATGAGGGAGTTGGAGATATATAAAGGGATACTGGTCTTACTTTGACCCTCCAAGAACGGTGACTACAACTTTTAGTAACGACCCACTAAACATAAAAAGGCATATCCATATTCTTGGAATGTACGAAATTTTCTCCAAGTGCCGTGGAAATATCCAAATCTAATATCGATAATTCCAATTTTTCAACATTCTGCCGACCCGATAGCATTTTGCAGAGTGATAATTTAGATTTCGTTACATTTTCAGCTTGCATTCTAATCATCTACGATCGGTCAATCAAGCATCAAGCTTTTGCAAGTAGGCACAAAGATTTCATAGCTTTGAATACTTTAAAAAATTTCATCTCTATTTGATCATTAGTCCAAGATGACTACTATACTGATTTTCACATCCCTACTAGCAATGACACAGAACGACAAAGTTCCATTCTATTTTCCTTGTTCTGTGACTACACACCGAATTCTAACCTAAAAAATTGACACGTCGATTTGCGAAATGCTTCGATTTCTCTGTCTCTCTCCTGCACGCGAAAACCCATGCCAGTGAAACTTGCACGTACGTTGCAGCAAGCAAAACATCTCACCTTCAGTCCCTGTATTTTTCAAACTTGTTTTAATAAAAATATGTGAAGCTCTTTTCACCAATAAAAAATGGAAACCAGCTTAGAAGAAGCCAATAGAAAAACGGAAAGCGAGGACCCTGGACCGACGGTAAGTGAATCGAATAATTGACTATTTAATTGCCGTTTCTAAAGTGATAGTAGAAAGTGAAAGACCTCCAAACACGATTTGAGAAAAATCGGGTCAATCGTACAAGAACTGGAGCAAGGCAGTATCATTTCAGTGTCAAGCGAGTTCAAACAATATGGTGTTCCAGGATAAGAAAGAAAACGATGCAAACCCAATGACGTCGGACCACTCCGAGTACGATAGTGCCGATAGTTATAGCGATGAAGGAGACAGCAAAGACGCTAAGCTGAGGTCCAGGAGCTCCGATCCTGGAAACCACAGCAATTCGGAAAGCGGTGGAAGCATCACTTTGGAGCGTGAAGAGGGAGATGGGCAAGAAAGCGCTCCACAAAAAAAGGTGGATGATGATGAAGATAAGAAGAATCCACAGTATATTCCTAAACGAGGGACTTTCTATGAGCATGATGATCGTACGTTAGAAGAGGAGTGAGTAGTGACACTTTCCTTTATGTTTTTTTCAATCAGTTGTACAGGTTTTTACATTTAGTTACTCTATAGAGTTACACGGTTGAATTTCATACAAGCTGATATTTTAGTATGTACCCATAGTTTAAAAAATGAAAGCTAGATTGTATTAAAAAAGTGTCTGATTATCTTCCAGAAGCTATACCCTTCTTTTAAGTAGTGTATCTAGATATAGTTACTACATTGTTTATATCAAAGTTAAGGCATTTTTTAGGGAATCTAGGCTAGTCAAATTAGATTTTATGGTGAAACATCTTTTAAGAAGATGCTACACTTTCAACATTTTACTAAGATCCATACAAAAACTATGTATTGAATGCTTTGTAGTGGATTGATGAGATCACAATGTGTGACAGTGGCCATATAGAAGGAAATATTTAATTAATTTCTTTCTTCATGACTATGGTATCTCAGCAACTGGATTCAATAGAGAGCCCTGTTAGACCCTGACAGAAGAGTGACATATAAATTATCAATTTTTAGTCTGCCAAACAGCTCTGCCTGACTTTGACCTTGCATCCTAACCATGCAGAGCTGCCTGAATGATTCTTTCAAATTTTTCCAGGGGTGAAGTCCAGGTAGCAGAGGTTGAGAAAGATGGTAAAAAGAAAGTTTGGCAAGATAAGAAGGAAAGATGGGCCCATGATCGATTCAATGAAACAGAGCAGTCTCCAAAAACCAAATCGGAATTGATCAATATCTATGGATATGATATAAGAAATGAGGAAGGCCCTCCCAGAGCTAGAAGACGTAGAAGATACGGGTAAGTGAAGGAACCCAAATAAGGCAAATCTAATTTCAAAGTAAAGTCTTGTTACTATGGGGACTATATTTATTATTATATTCACAACTAGGTAGGTGACTTTACAATTTGAGATGAAAGACAAGGTTTTTCTATGGCATATGATGAGACTGTCTGATGCTAAATGTTCTTGCTGGTATCCATGATTATTTTTTGCCATGCATTCCAGTATTACGTGTATTGAGTAAGTTAGGCCAATTTTATTATAAATTCAAATAGCTTCATAACAATTGTAGATATTTATAAACTTTATTATACAAAAGATACTAAAAACTTCATGAAAAATCTATAAATTTAAAAATATGTGTAACCCAATATCTTATTTTTGGATCACCATGTGTAGCCTGCTATAGATGAAAAGACGTTCGAGTCCGAGCGTTTTTCCCAAAATATGGGGGTGCAACCTTTTTATTGGGCCTCCTGTAAAATATGTATGAATAATTATCTACTAATTATGCTACATGAGTGTGTTTATAGAAGTTTGCAGAAGATTTGAGAGATGTGTCTAAAATCGATTTGCATCACTTGAATAGGCTCTAGATCATTTATTCATATTTGACTTGATTTTTCTAACATTTCAATTCAGGTCACAATTTATTCATTTATTGTATGACACCAAAAGATACGTCTTAAAGTTCCAGTGTTAAAAAGAAATAGTAACATACAATTTTAAAAAGGACAAACACATAATACCCAAGAGGGTATTTGTGACCCTCTTGGGTCATTGGTTTAGATAAAAAGGGTTAGGATATTTTTATCATTCATTATAATTTAAAATTAATTCATGGTACCTATTGAGTGAGAAACGTGATTTTCATATTGTTTATATAACAGCAGCAAGAATTTTGAGTTTTTTGCAATGTATTTTGTTATTTCATCCAGACAAGGATAATAAACAATGTGCTATTTTACTCAGTGTCAATGACTCGCATAACATTTTCTTAATTTTTCTATTTAATAATTATTTGCATATAGAAGTCTTAGGGCCGTATCGTCAGTCGTCCTACAATTGCAGGACGCCTTTATGGCCTCTTGGATTTTCATAGTCTTTTCTCTTTTTCAGAAAGGCTGGGATAAATCTAGATTTTTACTGTTCATGAACAATGTGATGCGCATAGATATTTGTAACATAACCTCAAAAATGGTACACTGACACGGAATAGTAGAAAACTATGAAAATCAAGGAGGCCATCAAGGCATCCTACAATTATAGGACGCCTTTATGGCCTCCTTGATTTCCATAATATCTTGTCTCCTTCAGTAAGGGACTTGTATGGCTGCTTAGATTTCTACCGTACCGACACTTCTGATGTTGGGTTAGGTTTTTTTTGACGTTTAAGAAATTGTATACCCACGTTCATTACATTGTTCATATTCATACCATTAATACTAGATATGGATTTTCTTAACCCAACAATTTCTTGAAATTACCACAGCTTGTGGAATTTGTGCAATCCAGGGAAGCATTACTGTCTGATCAACTCTATTTGCAAGAAAATATGCTTCTGCATTTGATTCGTCTCTCTGAAATTTCATAATCGTCGAAAAAAAGCGTAACCTAACATCAGAATTGTCGGCATGGCAGAAATCTAAAGCAGCCATTCAAGTGCCCTACTGAGGGAGAGAAGATGTTATGGAAATCAAGGAGGCCATATAGGCGTCCTACAATTGTAAGAACGACTGACGGTACGGCCCTTAGTATGAAATATTGATATGTTGGGTTGATCAATCGCTTTACTTTTTAGTCGTGGACCAAATAAATACACGCGTAACTGGGAAGATGAGGAAGCCTACAATAAACCGGCTCCGAAGGCAAAGTTGCCTGCTAAGAAACAATCTAGGCCTATCAAGAACGTAGAAGACTTTCCACCTCTCATCAGTGATCAGTCAGGAGGTGTGTATTAATTTTCCTGTGTATATGTGTGAAAAGTACCATGACAAACTACGTGATTTATTTTTCCAGATACCCACCCAGCAAATGATTCGATTGATAGCTCAGAAGATCGGCGCGATTCTGTTGACAGACAGGCTGCTTTCCAGCCACCTGCTGCAGCAGAAAACTCTCCGGAGCAGATTAATAGGAGCAGAAATTATGCTCAGGAGGCCTACCAAGAGAGAAGTGGCCAACGTATGGGATCTGATCGGCCAACAAAGCCCAAGAAAGAAATCAAGGATTCTGATTACCGGGGCTTCACCACTAAGACGCGTCAACAGAGACCTATCAAGACTGATCAGCAAAAGGTGAGGATAATCAACATTTTTTTTTTATTCCATAACTATCTTTTTGATAATAGGAAATTAAAAAAAATTGAGTGCATATCAAATTCAAATTTATTCATTCAAATTCGTAGCTACAAATACAAGTAGATAGGTCATGCCAAGAAAAGAGCAGATAAGAAATGTATAAAAACTCAACACTGCTTAACGTGAAGACAAACAACAAAATTATCTACGGTACAGGTACAACAGGTAGTACACATTAGAAAAAATAACATATAAAACATAAAAGAGTATTGTGCAAGTTAGAGGCAATTAATCAACGAATTCCTCAATGGTATATGGTGAGACATCGATCAAAAGATTTTTTTCCTGTCCTCAAGATTTATTTAGCGCGTATTTTTTATGGCCGCAGAAAGGATATTATAGATTGTGCTCACATTTTCTCTACCTTTCAGGTACTGCCGCGTAGCCAGCAACAACCGAAGCCGGACTTTATCCAAACTCAGAACTACACGAACAAGTCGCGCGACAATGCCCCGCAGTCGATCCAGGATATGGAGAAGGAGATGAGCAAACTGAGCGTGGACGGGGTGTACAAAGGGGGCAACAAACACGGCTCTCAAAGACAAGGTAGCGTGCCGCCGCGCTTGCAATCCGAGCACTCGAAGGGGTCGAAAAGGTACAGCTCGATGAGGCAGAGGTCTTTGCCTGAGGCGAATACACCACCTGCCGCTGCATATCCTACTACTTTCTACCCAAATGGTGAGTTTAGCGAACTTTCGTTTTCTATATTAAATGAAATATGAAGGTAATCTCAAGTTAACAAAAAGGTTATGATTGGAGGTTAAGGACAGATTTTTGACTTACGTTTTGAATAGGTGTAATCCGATCGGGAAATTTTTTGTAGAATTTATGCAACCATAGGAACGAAGGTGTGGACATACTGACTAGTTCTAGATGTACACAGTGTCCCATTTTAATCTCTCTACCTGATTATTTCGAAAGCTGTTCATTCTAGAAAAAAAGTTCCAAACAAATGGGTTTGGAAGGTGGTGACCTTGTCAATGACCATGATTACGACCTTTGAGGTTTTTTCATTGTGCAAGGTGCACATTTTCAAATGGAACACTTTCACATCAGAATTGAAAAGAGGAGCGAATTTTACGTCTAGGCATCACCAAAGCCATTTCGAGGGACATTGGACATTGAAAACAATTTGCTTTGTTCAAGATTTATTTAGCATGATTGCTTCAATTACATTTTTTTTAAAAACTATAACAATAATTACATAACATACACATATTTGGAAAAACAAAATTTGTATCTCTAAGAATTTTCACTGCATATGAAATCTTCCTTTAATTTTCTTTTAAACACTTTTAAATTACAAGTGAACTTTATATCATTATTTAGCTTATTAAATTCAAGTAATCCTTTCTGAAATATTGATTTGCTAGTTATATTACTATTGCAATTTTGTAACTGAAAATCTATATTTCCTCTTTTATAATATTTGTGGTAATGATTCAATTCTATGTAGTGTTCTAACTGTTGTGGCAAAATATATTTTTTCATTTATTATATATTATGTATAAGAATAAGAACCAAATATAATATGAAATTTTTATACCACTGCAATTCTTGTAACATAAATTTTATTATTGTATATTTATTTTTATTCAATCTTATTTTCATAGTCTTATTTTGGAGGACTTCTAATTTTGAGAATACAGCTTCATTGGCTTTGAACAAGATAGTTGAACAATATAGTAAATGTGGTACAATAATTGTATTATAAACTTTTTTGAAATAGGTACTAAGACTACGAGAAGCCCTATAAAAGTAATTTGTTTTTTTGACAATTTTTTAAATAACTTATTCATAGTGATCCTTAGACTTTATTTTACTATCAATATATATACCTAAATATTTGATTCAACATTTTCATTTACTTCACCATTTATCCTGACTGTGATAGTATTTTCATTTAGGTATTTCCCTATTAGCATACATTTTGTTTTAGAATCATTTAATTTAAGTTTATTTACATTTAACCAATTTATGGCATTATGTGACGTATATTTCACCTGACAGCGGACATTACGTTGTAATTGTGCACTGTTATTTTGAAATAAAGATTATTTATTATTATTATGATTTTTGCCAAGTCAGAATTTAGCATTTTTAAAGCAGTGAGCTTGGCAATGTAGATCAATTTTTTGTTTTTGACTTCCGTCAATTAAATACTTTTGTAGAATTTTGACTGCAGATCTTTTAAATCCATAGTGATGCAATTTTGTAAGTAATTTATCCCTGTCAATTGTTTAAAACGTCCCTTTGAAGTCCAAAAACACTCAAGTCAGTCAAGTCATCGTTGGTTGCCAGAGCGGTCCGTGGGACCTTAGCTCTTGAGTCACAGTGTCAGTTTGTAAGTCTGTCAGGTCTGGTAACCCAGAAACCAGACAATTTTAAGGAAAAAAAGGGGAAGGAAAGGAGAGAAGGAAGAACGAGAGCAAAGGGGAAGAAGAGAATCTTTTAGGATATGCAGCGTTTAGGCATTGTTAAAATCGCTTCACAGATTTTGATATGGTCTAAAAATATTTGATTTTTTCTAAAGATTGTGTAAAAATGCTCCAATTTTGGTTGTTCTAAGTTCACGAGTTAATTTTGATTACAGTGCGAGCCGCGGCCTTTTGTGCTTGCGAACTTGCTCGACTGTGTAGTCCACTGAATCACGCAACAGAGGGTTGCTGTGCGATTCCGCTAGGCTATAGCGCCGCTGCGCCTGTTGCTTAATGTAGTCCTTTAGGTAAGGGACATCGAGGTCTCTATGTAGAGTTTCGTTAGAGACATACCATGGGGCATCAGCAATAGTGCGCAACGTCCTGCTTTGCAGAACCTGCAGACTTCGCATGTGTGTTTTAGCAATAAAACACCAAGCCGCACATGCGTATGTCATTGCTGGTCTTATGACCACCTTATAGAGTCGAATTTTGTTAATCAAACTTAATTTTGACCGTTTACATAATAATGGGTAAAGCTGCCGAAACGTAATTTGGAATTTAGTTTTTAGCGCTTCCATATGGTTCCGCCAAGTCATCCCTTTGTCCAGAATGACACCGAGATACTTAGCGGAGGATTCCCATGGTATACGAAGTCCATTCATTGAAACTTCAGACGGAACGCCGCGACGTCTTTTTGTACAGTAGATTGCCTGCGTTTTCGAATGATTTATTTTAATTAGCCACCGATCCGCCCAATCTAATACTTCTTCCACCGCACTTTGCAGCCTGTCATGGACTAGGTCACCAGACCACGACTGAGCCACCAATGCAGTATCGTCAGCATAGAGATAGACTTCACAGTTGCTGGGACTAGGGACGTCATGGATGTACAGTGAGTAAAGGATAGGTCCAAGGACCGAACCCTGAGGGACGCCGGCTGTAATCAGCCGTGTTGTCGACAGCACATTGTCAATTTTGATCCGAAATTTCCTACCTTCAAGGAAGGATTTCAGTAGTTTTAGGAGCCAAAAAGGGAAGCCCTTTTGGATTAGTTTATACAAGAGGCCCGCGTGCCACACCTTGTCAAATGCTTTTGAGACATCCAAAAGCAAGATGCCAGTACTTTCGTTAAGGGTGAATCCTCTGGTTACACGTTCCACCAGCCTAACCGCCTGTAGCTCCGTACTATGTTCAGACCGAAAACCGAATTGCACGTCAGGAATCACATGGTGATCTGACGAGAAATTCTCAAGGTGACGTAGAATCACCTTTTCAGCGAGCTTAGACGCAGCTGACAGCAGGCTAATGGGACGATAATCCTGGGGAAATATCGAACCCACCTTCTTTGGAATCATTATAACTTCAGCGGTCTTCCACGCGGATGGGAAGTACTGGATCCTGAGCATGGCATTGACTATTGCCACGAGATAAGTTAAGGACTTCCGCGAAAGCAGCTTCAGCGCCTTATTAGTGATTTGATCCTCCCCAGGTGCTTTACGCACTTTAAGGTCTTTAATATGACCTTGAATCTCTGCTGGTGTGCAATGCGGGATCTCAGGAGATACCGCTGATGTGCTAAGCAAATCTTCGGTTGAAGAAGCTTCTGAAGAAGAATCTTCTGATGAAGAAAAATCACCAACGAATGCGCGACTGTCACTGACGCCGTTGGCCCTAAAATATCTCCTGACAGATCTTACGATGTGTTGCTCCTCGTCGAGGTCATTATCAAGATCATAGTTGGGAGAGAACTGTCTTTCCATGGCATCGGCGAAAACCTCAACCTTCTCCTCTGTCCTGAAGACAATGCCTCCAGGACCGTGAATGTGTGGGATTTGTTCACGCTTTCCGTTTTTGAGCGACTTCGCCACCTTCCAGAGAGGAATGCTTGAGTCAAGCATCCCCGCCAGAAAGTCGTTCCATTGCTCATTGCGGAATTCATGAAGAGCATTTCTTACTTCATGAACAAGATTCGTCGCTCTGCGAATGTCATCAGGATGACCAGACCTTTTCGCTTGCTTAATTGCAGCTCTTTTATCAGAAATTTTCTGACGAATGTCTGCTGGCAGAAAAGGTCTGCCGTGTCGCTGCACGGGAAGTACAGCTGCACGCTGCAGAGTTTGCTGAACAAAACTTGTCCACTCTGCTTGAGCCGCATCTATACCGTTCTCATCATCTATGATCGGTATATTGGGGAACTCTTTGAGGAGCGACTTGTATAGCTCCCAATCAATGCGTTTCCTTGGAGGGATTTCATCCCCCAAGATCTGCTCATTAGCCACTTCCAAAACGACGGGAAGATGATCGCTTGAGATGTCATACATGATTCGAGAAGTGATGCTGTAGCTACAGTTTTTGGATAATGCCAAATCAAGAACATCAGGTGCCTGAAAGTGATTAAATGGGTGGTGCGTCGGCTCCTCAGTACTATGTATGAGGTAGCCATTTCGTATCACATGGTTGTACAGTCGGATCCCACTGGTGGAATTCAACCTGGAATGCCATGCTCGATGTTTGCAGTTGAAGTCCCCTGCCACAATAAGTGGACCCGAGTAGTCTAAAAGGACTTCCAGATCCGCCTCTTGCAGCCTGTTACCACACCTGACATACACCGATGTGATTTTTAACGGCACACCTCCCGTCATATTGACCACCACGGAAGCCGCTTCGATGCTCTGCATGTCAGCGTTTGTGCTTCTGTGGTAGTCAATACCGCGTTTCACTAGCACTGCCAAGCCGCCACCCCGTCCAGTCAATCTATCAGCCCGGATAACATCGTAATTCGGGAAAGCTAGACGATCTCCCGGATTAAGTAATGTTTCCTGCAGCAAGGCCACATCTATACTTTCGTCCACAAGAGCTTGATGAAATTCCCGTCTTTTGGGAATGTCCCTTAGACCCAAACAATTCCAAAAAAGAATTTTGATAAATGCAGGCTGTCGTCGATTGTACCTAGCCATTTGCAGGAAAGATCGCCTGCAAAGCCTGTGTTGCGCTAATCAGAGGACCTATGATCTGCTGTAAGGACCTTAGCGCGGTTGCCAGGTCCACATTTTGCGTGTTCGCAGAAGATCCCACAGAGGGGGCAGCCCGGGTTGCATCCCTAGCTGCATCCGCGTAACTTACATTGCGCCTTTGCGCTATCACTTGCAGATTTTTCTTAGGGGCAAATCTGCAAGTTCGGCTATTCGCTGGATGCCCCCCTCCACAGTTCGCGCACTTTCGTTCCTCTTGTTCTGTTTGAGGGCATAAGTGGGTCAT